GGGAGATGAAAAAGTTCCAGAAATGGGGAGTGGTGATAGTTGTGCAACATTGTGAATATACTGAATGACACTGAATTTCACACTCAAGAAAGTAAAATCACAACCGTTATGTGATTATATATATACATATGTACACACACACACAGATATTTTACCACAATAAAATGTTTTTAAAGAAAGAAAGCAAAAATGAAGAACTAGCTAGTAATAAAAGCTTACCAAAAGTCATAGCACCTCAACATCTATTCTGCCTCCTTTGGAGCACACTATTAAGTAAAATATGCACATCTGCATATGTTTATAAAACTATGAAGCATATAAATATTATACAAATATGGAAAAAGAATTAAAACAAACATGCTATTGATTTTCATTCTTTTCACTAAAGTTATAATAATCCTATTTTTCTTGAAGGCTTTATACTTAAAACTCTGTAATTACTTGTATTGAATACAGCTAATCAAGGCAAACAGTAAAAACAAATAAAAAATAAAAAAAGTTATGTTAAAATGATTTTCTTTCATTTATCTTTTGAATATTAATAACATATATTAATAACAAATAAATGCTGTTTGTATAAAATATACTATATTTTTGGCCACCCAAAAACCCCAGAATGTTCTTGAAAACAAAATGACTAAAGTTGCTAGCTAAAATGAATACCTTCACCAAGTTTAAGCTAAAGAGATACACAGGTTGTTGTCTTTTTCAGTGTCAGGAAGATATGTGGGAAGCTGGATTAGTCTTTTAGCAAGTTAGGAGGACTTCACGTTTTTCTGACGTGACATAGATACTAAGTATAAAGAATGTTTATTTTTCTACATAATACTTTGCAAAAAATCTGCCAAGGACTATTCCTTTAAAATCATTCTTCAACATTTATTTATATCATCATATACATTAGGGATCATGACATAAACTATATGAATAAACAGGCTAAGATATACCATTATTTTTTTTTTATGAGGAAGGGTCTCACTCTGCCACCCAGGCTAGAGTGCAATGGCGTGATTACAGATCACTCACTCAATATCCTGGACTAAATCTATCCTCCCACCTCAGCTTCCTGAGTAGCTGGGCCTATGAATCACCATCATGCCTGGCTAATTTTGTGCTTTTTTTTTTTTTTTTTGTGGAGACGGGGTTTCACCATATTGCCCAGGCTGGTCTCAAACTCCTGGGCTCAGGGATCCTCCTGTCCTGCCTCCCAAAGTCTTGGGATTCTAGGTGTGAGCCATCAGACCTGGCCTTATTCACATTTTTTAAATCTACCTAAAACTAGTTGGAAAGTTGTAAGATGAGCTAAATGTATTTTAATTAAATCTTTCAATTTCTGTCATTTATCTTCACCACTGAAATCATTCTTTACCAAAAAAGTAGTCATAGTAACACCTCTCAATTACTTCATTTATTCAGCTGTGTGTATACAATAACAATATATTAACACCGTCCACCTGCATATTTTAAAAACATATCAAATAGTCATCTTAACTTTTTAAATGAGGATAAAGAAATACTAAAAAGCTTAGAAGTTATGGTTCAGAAACCATATTTTTTATGGCTTACTCTCTTTAAATCAATTTTTTTAGTTTTTACTACTAAAAGAGCCACTACTAGTAATGCTAGTCCCCTACATCACTTGTCACCTGTTTTGAGGTCACTGCCACTTTATTTTCATTTGGTATTTTCCTCTATATCCGTCTAAATACTGATGCTTTAAAATAAAATAATTTTCAGCAAATCCAATTAATCATTCTAAGTCATCAAAATTTAACAAATCCCAGTAGTACAGAGCTTAATATAAAATAAACAATTTTCCATCTTTATCCAAGTTATGCATACTAATTTTTTAAATGGCCTTAACCCAATTGTTAGAATATCCTATAAAGACCTTCATAAATAGGATGGATAGTAAAATAAAAATGAAGCACACTTTCTTATCTGGGCATGAATTTGGTAAGTTTTTTTATTTGGTATAAAGTACTCATAATACTGAAGCAAAGATTATTGGAAATTTGTTGAAGAGAACATTAAATCATGTTTAGAACATTAAGGCAAAGAGAATGAAAATGTCCCCTCAAAGTACAGTAATTGTTCCTCAGTTATAGAAAACTACAAATAAATAGTAACCCTTTGTATTTAAATAATTAGAATATCTTATAAAACAGTTAGCAATATTAAGACTTTGAAAGTAATAAATACCTCTTCAGTCCATTTTAAAGAACATTTTACATACAAAGCTCAGGTTTAGAGCCTCAGAAAGATCCAAGGCATGTCATCACAAGTGCCTTAAAAAATGTTACATAAACTTTTATTATGAATAATTCAAAAAACTCAAACATTTTATATGGTTCTGACATTAACCAAAATGGGGGCACAGGTATGAACTGTCATAAATGAGACATATGACAGCATATAGTAAGCTGCTCTTTAGTATGTGCCATGTCTCCCACTGGTATTTCAAATTCCAGGTCATCATCTCAATAGCAGTAAGATCAGCTTTACTGTTTTACAAACCAAATACAGTTCTAATCTTTTTATTTTATTTTTTCCAGGCAGGGTCTTGCTCTGTCACTCAGGCTGAAATGTTATGGCCCAATCATAGCTCACTGTAGTCTTGACTTCCCAGGCCCAAGACGTCCTCCTACCTCAGCCTCCTGAGTAGCTGGGATTACAGGCATGAGCCACCATGCCAGGCTAATTTTTAAATTTTTGTAGAGACAGGGTCTCCCTTTGTTGCCTAGGCTGGTCTTGAACTCCTGGGCTCAGGGGATTCTACTGCTTCAGCCTCACAAAATGTTGAAATAACAGGCATGAGCCACCTGCACCCAGCTAGTTCTAACTTTAAATGTCAAAACTTTTAGAGGTTTCATTTATAGAGAAAAATATTATCCTGATGCTATCTGATTGAGAAAAGCCGGTCAGTTGATAAAGCAATCAATCAAAGTATTGTATAATTTACAGTACCTCCAGAATTTAAGCATTCAGTTTGTTCATATATAAATGGAACAGTAATAGACTTTGCACTAAGTATTTTAAAAAGATAAGATCCTTGTCAGCCAAACGTCTACACTTCATGTATCATAATCAAATGGCCTGGTGCTTCTGACTCCTTTTATGAAATGCTCCACTACATTTTGTACATTTTATAGAATTTAAGAGAATCAACCTCTGCAAGTTTACTTCAACCTTTGATTCCTGACAACAAAATACATATGGAATTTACAATTTTCTAGGTATAGAATAGTGATCAAAGTTAAAAGTAAACTAAATTTTTTAACTGAAAATTGGTGAATCATATGAAGTTTCCTGGAAAGAATATAAACATGTTAGTCAAAGCATATTCTTGGGTTTTTTCCCCAAATGTCAGTTAAAATATAAAACGCTAAATATGTAACAATACAAGTGAGTTCAGGATTTCATAATCTATTACAATTAAGAAAATATTTAATACTTCAAATTGCATATTCATTATATGTGGTCTACGATAGGTTGGAATTTATATATTTTGTTATTATACTTTAAGTTCTGGGGTACATGTGCAGAAGGCACAGGTTTGTTCTTTTTTAAAACAATTAACAATTAAACAAGAAAAAATATTTTATTTGCCACTGTTACTGTCAAAACAGTGTTTCAAAAAAACCCAAGAAGTTTGTTTTTACATTTTGAAATTATATTTTTACTTTTAAATTTTTTTATTATATTTTAACTTCTGGGGTACTTGTGTAGATCATGCAGGATTGTTACATAGGTATACACATGCTATGGTGGTTTTGCTGCCTCCATCCCCCCCATTACCTACATTAGATATTTCTCCTAATGTTATCCCTCCCCAATTTCCCCACCCCCTGCTTTCCCTCCTCTGTCTACCCATCAACAGACCCCAGTGTGTGATGTTTCCCTCCCTGTGTCAATGTGTTCATTGTTCAACCCCCACTTATCAGTGAGAACATGCAGTGTTTGGTTTTCTGTTCCTGAATCAGTTTGCTGAGAATGATGGTTTCCAGAGTCAACCATGTCCCTGCAAAGAACATGAACTCATCCTTTTTTATGGCTACATAGTACTCTATGGTGTATGTGCCACATTTTCTTTATCCAGTCTATCAATGATGGGCATTGGGTTAGTTCCAAGTCTTTGCTATTGTAAGCAGTGCCTCAGTGAATATAAGTGTACATGTGTCTTTATAATAGAACAATTTATAACCCTTTTGGTATATACCCAGTAATGGGATTGCAGTGTTAAATAGTATTTCTATTTCTAGATCCTTGAGGAATCACCACCCTATCTTCCACAATGGTTGAACTAATTTACACTCCTACCAACAGTGTAAAAACACTCTTATTTCTCCACATCCTCTCTAGCATCTGCTGTTTTCAGATTTTTTAATGATTGCCATTCTAACTGGCATAAGATGGTATCTCAATGTGGTTTTGATTTGCATTTCTCTAATGACCTCTGATGATGAGCTTTTTTTCATATGTTTGTTGGTGCAAAGTGTCTGTTCATATCTTTTGCCCACTTTTTGATGGGGTTGTTTGGTTTTTTTCTTGTAAATTTGTTTAAGTTCTTTTTGTAGATTCTGGATATCAGCCCTTTGTCAGATGGGTAGATTGCAAAAATTTTTTCCCATTTTGTTGGTTGCAGGTTCACTCTAATGATTGTTTCTTTTGCTGTGCAGAAGCTCTTAAGTTTAATTAGATCCCATTTGTCTATTTTGGCTTTTGTTGCTGTTGCTCTTGTGTTTTAGTCATGAGGTCCTTTCCTATGCTTGTGTCCTGAATGGTATTGCCTAGGTTTTCTAAAAAACCCAAGAAGTTTTTATGCAGTAGTATAGTAATTTGGCTAAATTCGATTTATTTCATATTTGGAAATATTTAAGAGGCATTTACAAAAGTTAAAGAATATGCTTTAATTAATTTGACAAGTCTATTAAGTTTCACTATGTTCGAAATACTATGCCAAAGATACAAAACATTATTGTTTTTATAACAATGCTTACTGAGCTCCTGTGGAAGGAAAGCATAAAAGATAAATGGCACCTTCCCATGAAGTACCTGAAACACAAATAATTAAATGAATTAACTCCAAATAAATTGGACACAAAACATTAAATAAAAGTATAAATTAAAGTATATGTATAATTATAATAAGCTTAGTATCAAGTGTTCATGTTTCAGAAAACAAATTACATTTCCAGCACCAAAGTTCTGATATATACTTAAGAGTTGTTACTTAAGTTATGTCATTTGGAATCTTTCCTATAGCAACATTATTTGATAGGGGAAAATGTTTTCTTTGAATAATATATTATACTTCAATAGTCAAAAAAATGCTACACTTGCATATTCTTGAAAAAAACAAAAAATTTTAACTTCAAACAGCACTGTATAAGTTATGCTTTGGCTCAATTGTTGCTTACTGGATTCGGTGAAAAAATCTTACTCTTAACTCATATTAGAGAACCCTATAAAGTAAATCCTGTTCCTTCTAATATGCAAATGTACTTACTTAATTTGAGAGCGTGCCAACCCGCCAATCAAGCTCTGATTGCACTTTTTTGTGTGAGTGGTGGGACCAAGAGTGCTTCTTTTAGAACACGAGGAATGAAGAAAATAGAGCTAAAATGGTAGATTCTCTACTGCAGAGTTAAAACATTAAAATCTTAAAAATTTAAGGATATTAAATGCATAACTAATTAAAAAACTAAGTAACATTTTTATCTCAGAAGCATTTCAATTATGAACTTGCCTATTTCTTGTCTCCTTAAGATTTTTAAATGGCTTAGGAAAGATGTTCAGTTAAACCCAGCAGCTTTATTTCCTCACCCTCTCCACTAAAATGACTATAAAGTAATTACAGTTTATATGCAAGGATAAAGAACATTAGACTGAAAGTTTTGGACAGTGGAAAGAGGACAGTCAAGTGGTGACTGTCTTAACACAGCAGAATTGAAACCTCATCACAACAAAGTGAAGCCAGCAAGAAGCAAGATGATTTGTATGACAGACTCTAGAAAGGTTTAAGAATTGGAGGTACCAAATATCACAGACAGTAGATTAAAAAAAGTACTGGTTGACAATCCTTCTAACAATCAACAAGACGCCTCCCCCAACTCTACTGCCGAGATCCTTTGCCCTCCCCATATGTGAGAGGAGGGGACAGAGGTGTCGTGTCCACAGACAAGGAATGGCCAGGATTGCTGACAGAAGGATGGCAGGCGCCGTGAAGGCCAGCAGCAAGGAGTGGCAAAAAAATGAAAGTTCATGGCATTCAAAATTCCGAGGGAGAAAAACAGTACAAGTCTGGGGACCGAATAAAGATTTTCAGGGCCTCAAAAGTGTTTACTTCTCATTGAACTTTCCACAGAAAACTAGTACAGAGTAAGAACCATTATAAAGGCAAAGTCAGCCTAAAAAGAAGACATGGGAGGCTGGGCACAGTGGCTCATGCCTGCAATCCCAGCACTTTGGGAGGCCGAGGACGGTGGATCACCTGATGTAAGGAGTGAGGCCAGCCTGGTCAACATGGAGAAACCCCAACTCTACTAAAAATAAAAAATTAGCCAGGCATGGTGGTGCATTCCTGTAATCCCAGCTACTTGGGAGGCTGAGGCAGAAGAATCGCTTTAACCCAGGAAGCAGAGGGTGCAATGAGCCAAGATTGCACCACTGCACTCCAGCGTGGGAGACAGAGTGAGACTCTGTCTCAAAAATGTGGCACCTATTTACTACTATTAGGGAGAAATAAATTCTGGTACAACTATATGAACCATTTCGCCAGGCCAGGATCATGGGTTGTAGGAAACAAGGTGGAGGAGGGGGATGTCCTGCAGAGGAGCCAACAAGCCTCACAGCACACAGCAAAGTAAATCTAACCACAGTGCACTGAGCTGCTCAGTAGGGAACAATACTTCCATCATCATAATAACAATGGCATATATTAATTAATCCAAAACTTGAGATATAATTATATCAGGGGCACGGAGAATTTGTGAATGTGAATGTGTGTATTGGATTGGGGTAGTGTTGGAAGAAGTATTTCATTTTCCATAATGAAAAGTCAGTGCAGAATTTTTTAAATTATGCATATTTTTCATTTAGAAATACAGTTGTTAATTCTGAAAGAAACATCTAAAAGAAGTGTAAGTAATTGGCTGTGGAAAGCAGAACTTGAGGTGGGAAAGGGAGGGGCAGGGACAACTGCCTTTCATAGTAAGCTTTATAGTATCTTGACTTTTGTGTATGCAATACTCCGATTAAAGTTAGGATCAAAATAAAAACATGAATAACCTTAAAATAAGACTGTGACTGCCATATAAATATTCTGACCTTAGTACATCATTTATTGTTTAATGAAAAAACGTTAAAATCAGCAAATTACACAAACTCCTTTCACTATGCTCTAACAGATCAGTCTTCAAATCAGTCAAGCAATTTGATTCATACTCTACAATTAAAATAAATAGTTTACCAACATTTTTAAATTTCATCTTTGACACATTATATACATGCAACCTAAGTCAGCAATATAATTTTAATAACCAAATTAATTCACAAATTGTCCTGCTAATAAATATGTGTTAATAAATACTGAATTTCTGTATGATTCATTCTAAGAAGCCCTAGTCATGTCAGCTTTTCTGAATTTAGAAATCAATTGAATTGGCAACTAACATATTCATATTCGAGATAATAGTATATGTCCAAACAGACTGCTTACTAACCACTGATACAGAGAAACAATCTTGTGCCCCCTCCAACCCTAACAGTTGATATCAGAACCACTGTAAGCATAATTTACTTCTTTCTTCCCTTATCAAGGGCAAAACAGACACCCTACTATTAAATGAGTACCACTACTAAATGCCTGCTACTAAATGAGACCAGAGCTCCTATAACCACAACTAGCTGCCCTTATCACTGCCTCTGCTGTTGCCACTCCCTTTCCAACACCCCTTCTTCACCTGCTAGCAGTGGCTGGCACCTACCCACACCTGCACCTAGAGAAGCCTGGGCCTCCTGAGTATCTGTGTTTCTTCATTCTACTCTCATCTGGAGCTCATGCTATAAGAATGCTGGAGTTCAGGAAAATACACTGTAACTTGGCAAGTTCTATGAGAGTAATGATATATTGATTTTATATTTTAGATATCGTAAGGCAAAAGAGGATTTTGTGTACCAGCTTAAAATGCTACACTATTGAAAAATGATTCTCAATTCCAATTCAACTTTTAAATGTAAAGTAACTAGTAAGTTAGGAATGGGCTCCATAAAGCCTAATGAAAAAAAAATACTCTCCCACAAAACAAATGGTCAGAATGTAAATATCCACAATTGTAAATAAATATCCAAATGTAGTTGTTTTGATTTTGTACTAATTACTAAAATAGTATTACAATTTTAATTCATTTTATATAATAGTATACTATCCTAATACAGTTTTATTGAGGTCCATTCAAGACCTTTATTTTGCTACTCTTATAGCTAGTCTTTTCTTTCATTTCCCCAAACTGAGAACAGACCATGCACAATATAACTTGGCAATCTAGTTCATTCATTTCCCAGAAAAGGTGAAAAAATAAACCTCAAGGCTATTTCAACACATTTTCTTCCATGCTGCTTTCAGTTTGGTATTTTAATGAAATGAGTAGTATACAGGGTGATTTTTATTTTACTATATACTACTCCAGTAAAGTAGGAAATAGAAAATGGATTTTTTTCAGTTATTTAATCAGTTTACTAAGGATTTGGAAGAGTCAGACACTTCAAATAAAGTAGAGTACAATAGAACTACACTTCTTTTTTGGCCCACTAAAGCAACAAGAATAAATGATCCAATGCTTAAAATGACCCCTAAACACATAGTTCCTCATATTTTAAAACTGCAGCAAAACCTGACTATAAAAAAAGGAGCAATAGAAGCATGATCATCAACGACATCGTCTGGTTACAGAAACGGGAAATAGATGAAGCAGTTGTCTGAGTTTCTCATGGAACTACTATTTTCTGAGTGCCTACTGTGTGCCTGGAGACAGTTCAAAGGTTAATAATACAGATGAGCACTCTACCCATGGAGCTTAACAAGTAAATAAATAAGCAGAATTTAGGCAACGATAAACATGATGGAAAAAAAATGGATTGATGTGATATTGATGGGAAAAGGTGGCTGTTTCAAACAGGGTCAAGGACTATTTGAGCTATGCTGTTTAAATGCAGATGAAATTGACAAGGAATCAGCCACAATGAAGATACAGGGGAAGATCTTTACAGGGGAAGATCTTTCCAGCAGAAGAGAAAATGACTGAAAAGACTCTAAGGTGAGAACAAACCTAGAGATTTTGAGAAACAGATGAAAGAAAAAAGTTGGTGCTGTTAAGTCTTAATGAGCCAGGGGAAGGGTGAGGATGATGGAGAAGATGGGGGACAAGCAGGCAGAGTCTGTGGACCATGTGAAAAGCCAGGTTGAGGCCGGGTGCGGTGGCTCAAGCCTGTAATGCCAGCACTTTGGGAGGCCGAGGCGGGTGGATCATGAGGTCAAGAGCTCGAGACCATTTTGGTCAACATGGTGAGACCCCGTCTCTACTGAAAATACAAAAAATTAGCTTGGCATGGTGGCGCGTGCCTGTAATCCTAGCTACTCGGGAGGCTGAGGCAGGAGAATTGCCTGAACCCAGGAGGCGGAGGTTGTGGTGAGCTGAGATTGCGCCATTGCACTCCAGCCTGGGTCACAAGAGTGAAACTCCATCTCAAAAAAAAAAAAAAAAAAAAGAAAAGTCAGGTTGATTTAAAGCATTAATGGAGCCTGTAATCCCGGCACTTTGGGAGGCCAAGGTAGGTGGATCACTTGAGGTCAGAAGTTCAAGACCAGCCTGCCCAACATGGTGAAACCCTGTCTTTATGAAAAAAATACAAAAATTAGCTAGGTGTGGTGGCGCATGCCTATAATCCTAGCTACTCAGAAAGCAGAGGCAGGAGGAATCACTTGAACCTGGGAGGCAGAGGTTACAGTCAGCCAAGATGATGCCACTGCAGCCCAGCCTGGGTGACAGAGAGAG